CTGCTCTGCTCTGCTCTGCTCTGCTCTGTTCTGCTCTGCTCTGCTCTGCTCTATTCTACTCTATTCTATTCTATTCTATTCTAACATAGTCGCCACGCTTGGCGATCGTGTTCGACCACTTTTTAAATTGTTGTTTTGTAGTTAAAAGAAATATTTTGCTGCCCATATTCTGCTGCCTATATCCTGCCTCAGTTTCCCTCTGTCGCCTCTTACGACACCCACGGGAAGATATGGGGTAGTGGGTATTCTTACCCGTCACTACACAGGGGAGACAAAAGGCTCAGGACCGTGCTTTGTGACGTTCCTTGGGGGAGGCCTATGTTCAGCAGTGGACTTATGAAGGGTTGTGATGATGATGATGATGAATGATGATTCTATTAAAATGATACATACATAAAAAATATATAATAATAGATAATAACAAAACTTAAAAAACAAAAATATTTTATTTTTTGCTTTTTGTTATAAGATATGTTTTTACTTATTTATTAATTTATGGAGTGGTGTTGCACCTACCACAGCTTCTCAAATCATCCAGGGTTGACTGGTAGAGAATGCCACAAGGCATTAAGTCCGCCCTTTATATCCCTTATTATAAGGTAGATGTAAAAAAGAATAAATAAATAAAAAAAAATATAGAATGATAGGCCTGGGTATAGAATTTTTATCGCTATATTTTTTCACACTCTGAATGGTATTATTAGTTCCGTGGCTGCTCAATTCTATCAGCGCCAAAATGGCCAAAATCAAATCGCCTCATTACGTCACGGTGTATAGCCAGTCCAGCGTACTTGTATATAGAGGTCAGTGGTTTTAGGGCAATGAAATGTCCACCGCGCACGTATTATTTTTAATTTCACAGACATGAAGGTTACTTTATGATATTTTTGATCAACGCCGAACACTTGGTAAATAAGACTTACTGCAACTCTTGTCAGATCGGCCCTCCATCGATTAGGGGTCATTATCCTACACTTCGCTTACTGGTATGAGGCTACCACACGAGAACCTTTCCTCCCCATCGGTTGTCATTTTTCCTATATGGCCGCCCCATTGCCACATCAGCTTACTGATCCATTAGCTACTCACTTTACGCTAGGGGTATAATAGAATAGAATAAAATAGAATAGAATACTTCTTATTACATTGAAGTGTTTGTCTGTAATATTGAAATATCTGGTTTCTATTAAGCTCGGGCGTTATTTGCATACTATTAAGACATGAATAACATTTTTAAATTGTTTGTCGTAGGTAAGTAAGAGCTAGCGTGGTTTAGGCGAGCAACGTTCCATGAAATTCAAAGTTTTTTAACATTGTTGTGCATAAGATGTTAATAGATTTTTTGTATATATTAAAGTATTAAATATTTTTTTTTATAACATAGGGTGGCAAACGGGCACACAGTCCACCTGATGGTAAGTGGTTGCTGTGGCCTATAGACATCTACATTTATCCTCGTTTGCGAATCAAAATGCAGATGCGTTGTCACCCGTGAGGACTAAGATAGAATGCCTCTTTTTCAGTAAAAAGGGTCTCCGGTTCTCTGCACTCACCATACGAAACACAGCAGCATGAAGCTGCTATTTGACGCTGGTATTCTGTAAGAGCGTGGTCCTCCCCGATCGAGCCGACCCATTCGTGCTACAACTATACTACTAATATAGCTGCAGCATGGCTCTACCACGTAAAAGTTAGTGTTTAGTATATTTAGTTATAGTATAGAATAGCTGTTTATGTTTTAGTTTAATTTATATGTATATTATAGAATATACATTCATTAACAGTTTCGAAAAAATAATAATGATAAAACCAGCCAATAAAATTATTATCGAATATTAATTTTATCACTTCGTTTCAATGTTTTCCTTCTCTACTTAAAATTATACGTTAAATTTAGAGTTTTTCCACTCTTAAATTAAATAATCGTTAATTTAGAGAAAAAGACATTAAACAGTTCTAAGTTAAATAAATAATCAAAAGGTACTATAAACGTACTGTCTATTTTACTTTTTGTTGAAAGCCTTTGGGAACCATTAAATAGCGTCCGTGACGTAGGAGGACAAAAGATCTAGCACTTCTTATTAGTTTGTGGGAAAAGATGCAAATCCATACGGACCACAAACTAATAAGAAGTTATACCGTACACTCGCGCGTAGCGATAAGGTTTAATTTAGCTTGCGTGAGTGATTTATCTAATTAATAATAATATGTAATGTAGGCAATTAATTAAAACGTCGGTAAGTAGTCAACATCAAAGTAGTGCAACTTCGGTTCGTAGTACTATTATTTATTATATGACGCGGCTTAGAAGAGAAACCACGCAGGGCATAATTATTGAACTGTGATCACTGACTTAGAAGTATAGGTATATTTATATCTCTATGACTGTCATTGAATCATTATCCGCAAAGTAGATAAATTAAAAGGATTTGAGAAAATGAAAAATAAAAGTAAATACTAATAATAATAATAATTTATTTGATACAGACAACACAGATACAAAATTAAGATTAAATTTTTTTAAACTATACCTTAAATTTTAATTATAATTATTGGTTAATCAATGATATTATTACATTTTATTAATAACATTTTAATAAATTTGACCATCTACTAAAAATTTCACTACATGCATACATATTACAAATAATTTTGATGAGATTATTCTGCAACCCAAAAACAAAACTTCTAAATCGCGCGATACGGTGACGGATCAACGCATCCAAACCAACGACACGGGCCTCTGCGAACATCTGCGACGCGCTACAGTATCGTGGCACGAAAAACAACACGCGGAACGAATCATTATACTGCACCTTCAGCCTGTGATATTCCTCTTTAGTGTAATTCGTCCACAGCTGAGGAGTGTAAAGTGGCTGACAGTAAGCTGAAAACAACGTCAGCTTTGAGGTATAAGAACACCTTTGAAAGCGTCTAGCTATCATGTTGGCACGCACTGACAAGGAACGACGCTCGCGGTCCATATCGGAACCATCACACCAGGTATTTAAACGTCGTTACCCACTCCAATTGTGAATTACACAAATACAATGGGGGGATATGAGGTTGAACCCTACCACTCTTAAAAAGCAAACAAACAGACTTGTTGGTGTTGTACAATAGGTTATGATCCATTGCATATTTCTCACATATCTGCAGTAGTGCACGCAGCGCACCAATCGAGGGACTCAGCAGCACCATATCATCAGCATAACTCAAGTTATTAAAGCATTCAGAACCAATGTGGCAACCCAGTCTGGTGCTTCTAAGCTCCTCGATCAGCTGATTAACATACAGATTAAAAAGCATAGGCGATGTTAGCCCTCCCTGCCTCACACCGCATTGTAGGAGAAATTCCTCAGAGTATGTATCACACCACTTTACTACATTAATTTGCCTACTATACCATGCGATCAATATGTTAATACATAATGACGGCACTCCCGCATCACGTAACTTCCTCCAAAGTATATCATAACTGACTCTGTCAAAAGCCTTACTTAAGTCCAAGAAACATGCATAAATATTTGTGTCCCGCTTATTATAATAACTAACGGTTTGCTTTAAAGTAAAAATCGCCGCATCCGTAGAACTATCTTTTTTAAATCCAAATTGAGCATCGCTAATTTGTATATATTTGGAAATAACGCCTAATAATATGGTGTCAAACAGTTTAGCACAAGTTGTAGCTATGGATATCGGTCTATAATTACCACTGTCGGTCAAACTACTCAATTTACATTTAAGAACAGGACTTACTACCGTTTTTAGCATTTCTACCGGTAAGTAAGCATGCTTTATACAAGCATAGAAAAATACAGATAGGAACGCAATTACCCATGGTCCTCCAAACCGAAGATGTTCCACGCTTATATTGTCATATCCTATCGCCTTTCCTAGTTTCATCTGGCGCAGAGCATTAAAGATCATCTCTTCAGATACATGAATGTCCTTGCCATCTGCTACAAGATATTGATCATGAGAAGTACAGTGTACTGCACTTAACGCAAGAAATTTGTCCCTAAACAAGTTTGCAATCGCCAGTGTGTCCGTCAGACCATCCACAGACTTCGTAATCTTAGACTCGGTCTTAAGCAAATTTCCCGTATCTTTCCAAAATTAACTAAAGTTTCTACTTAAACTAGATGCCGAAATCTTATCTAAGATTATTTTATCAGCGGAATTGTGGCAAAATCTTAACCTACTTTTAAAAATAGTTCGCGTTCTTTTCATTTGATCGAACAGCGGACCAGAAGAAGGCGCCCCATCCGTTAACCACCCAGCTCGAGTTTGCCGTGCCTTCATGTGTGCCTCGCGTACATACTCATTCCACCCCGGAACAGGGGGCCTCTGGAAGACATGCTGAGACGCGCGACGTGTGGCCGCGTGAATTATACAACTAATAAAAGAGTTATACAAGCTATCTAGGTATTTACGATGTTCAGTACATGTACAACTATAACACTTAGCAGATAAATGCCTTAACCTCTCCCAATCCAAGTTACGTATATACTCAGAACAAAGAGAGGAATAAAATTCAATTATATAAATAAACAAAAATATAAATTATGTATTAAAAAATAAGGTCACAGTCCAAAGGCATTACTTCAGACATAACAAACTTTTGTCAATGGTTATTATTTTTTTAAAGTGGCAATATAGACAGCTGACAGCCTGCTCTCCGTCATCGTAGTATTAATTTAATATTTTGTGTAGTCTCCGCTAGGAGTAAAGTATTCTGTGTTGTGTAGAGCCTATAATTTACACTTCCTTATGTATTTGGTCATTGCTTATTTCTGTATTAAACATTTACAACATTTATAGTAAATACACCCAAAACCCATTAAGGGATTAGCTTTGGTCGTGTTTATATGGTGGCACTCGTACTATATGTCTTCCCATTATGGATCCGTTTACAACAGAACAAAACGAAAGGGACTAGTTGTACGTGTGTTATTTAGTGAATAATTGCGTTTGCTTCTTTGTGCTGAGTGGTAAAAATGGCGCAGACGGTGCGACGTGCCATTGAAGGACGGTATCCTTCATGCTATTTACCAAATAGATTAAAAGAAAGAAGAGCTAAAGCTAGGGCATTAAGGTAAACTAGTTTTACGAAAGTTTTCGGCTACGTGTAACTGATGCATACAGAATTCAAGTAACTATATATTGTGGTTATAATCTTTTTAATTTATTGTTTATGTAAAACAATTTACTAAAGAAAAATAAAGAACATTTACGTCGTATATAAATCCCACCTCGCTTTTTTTTTAATTTAAACTAACATCAATTATTCATTTTATTATGTGGAAACATTAATTTTTGCAGTGTTTTTATTTTACTTCATTATTATCTTATATTTTTTTATAAATCTTATATATCTTACGATATCTTTTATGACTTATCACTGATATGCTCAGTGATAATCAGTAAAAGAAGACAAATGTTGGTAGAAGTCATTAACATGCTTTGTCAATTATTTAGTTGTTGTGTCTTGTGTATGTACTTAATTGGCAGCAGGATCAAAGTATTGTTAAGTGTAAAGTTGTCAAATAACATTACTGTATGACTTTTCAGATTACAACAGCAAAGTAAGCCAGATAAACCGGAAGACTTTGTCTGCTATTCAGATAGTGATAGCGAAGAAGAAACACCAGCACAGCAGCATCGGATTCTATCAACCTCGTACAACTTTGTAGATTATGTTCGCTCTAGAGAAATTCAGGCCCCTGAGGTAATACACTGTATGCAATGGCTGTTGCTGTCTCCAATAAACACTATTGATTAACCCCTTACGGTATACCAAGTCATATATGGATACAAAGGTTGATGATTTTTTTCAAGCTTAGTGAAAAACTTGATCTTTAAAAATACCTTAAATTAGAAGAAGCATATTTGTCGTAATTTCAAATGTTAATCATAAGTCTATGTTAATTGACAATTTGTCAACTATATTTGAGGTTATTCGTAATGCATGTGGTCGGCCGGTGTCATAAAACAAGTGCAACTTTTGGGATTCAAAATAAAATACTCAACAGTAAGTAAAACATATTAAAAAAATATGACCATATGTTTTATACCCCCTAAAATATAAAACTAGTTTGTTTATTTCAGTGCCTAGCTTTTTTCTCGTTCTTGTCTTTTTTTTTTTCAATCTGCCATATTTGGCTTCCTATGCGTTACTGTAAAAATAATGCTGTCATATTTGGCTTCATATGCGTTCAAGATTATTGTTTGCTTATTTCAGAAAGTATATATAGTCGTCCATTCAGTATTATTGAAATACCAACATCAAAGCCGGGGTGGCACTCCCATCGTCTTGCCTGAATTTCCAGTACCTGCTTAAAGCTTCGAAAGACCTGCTAAAATTCAAAAGCTTCGTTTAAATTCAGTATATCGTAATGTTTATTTATATTATAACGACAAATGAAATTGTTTTAAGGAGTTCCATCAAATATAATTCATATTTTTCTTAAACACATACAAAGCTATATTTGGATACACATTACATGACTAGACTGCATACGAAGACATTTATATGGCTGCGAGTAATAACTTTTAGTATTTAAGTTTATTTTTTAAATCAAATTGATCTCATTATGTAAGCCTAATTAAACACTATTTCGTAATAAAAGAATTTTCATTCCATCTCTTTAATAATTCATATGGTAAGGGGTTAAATGTTGAAAATCCTACTTTTTACTCATCAATTATTACTGACTAGAGATCAGCCCCGGCTTCGCACGGGTGATATCTCGACAACAGCGCCATCTACCGGATCCAATTGTGAATCTAAACCATCCAGGGGCCCACTCAAACATACACAAAAAATCATCTAAATAGTTTGAGCCGTTTTCGAGTTTTAGCGAAACTTATGGACAGCAATTGATTTTTATATATCGAGATGTAGAATTTGTTACAACCTATTACAAGTCCACTGCTGAACATAGACCTCCCTCAAGAAATGCCACATAGCTTGATCGTAAGCCACCTGCTAACATCGACTTCCTGCATCTCTTACCAGGTCGTCACTCCATTTAGTATCACCACCCTACAATTTTACGTACTAGTACCAGGTTGCCACATGAGACCTTTATTTTCCATTGGTTGTTGGACTATATCAATAATAATTTATGATATACAACAAACATTTGTCATGGTAAATCTCTAGAGGAAGCTTATTTTGAACAAACGAAATTATACCAAGTACCTTAAACTTAAAAAAAAAACTATTAAAGAATACTATATAATATACTAAAAGGTTCAGTTACCATAATAGAGAATTAAACATTTGATAAATTAATTCAATAAATAATCAAACCTAGTAAGTTGTAGATGTATGTAGATTGTTGTAGTGGTTTTGAGCACTTATCAATTTAGGTCACGCTAGTTGCCCAGATCCATAAATTTATTCAACTACACAATTATATACTACAAAGTCTTATGGTAATTATTCCAATCACTAACTAACAATATGAGGAAAACTGAATTTCCTCTGTCATGTCTTTCAACACCCATGGAATTGTGGTCCTCTTACATCACTATTTCACAACTTGTCATTAAAATGCCATGTCATCCCGAAGATGTGGTAAGAGGCGACAGAGGAAAACTGAACCAGGAGATGGGCAGCAGCATCTTCCTGATAACAGCAGAATAATAATAAAATAAACTAGTTTCCAACTTGCTTGCCAAACATAGCAACTATGGCAAACATCCCCCCTTTGAGGCAATCTAAGGGAGGCCTGTGTTAAGCTATGAAACATAAAGGAACTGTAATAAATGAATTATTGAAAAATCTGACTAACTAACAAACATGAAGCAAGATTAGTGTCACTAGTGAAGTTAGGTCTTCCGGTATTTTTTCATGTAAATATTACACAATTACCAATAAATAAAAAAAATATTTTCTGTAAAAACATCATTTTAAGTTTACTTAAGGATTATTTGTTGCAGCCTCGCTCAGTGGACCCATCATATGCAACTCGCCATATGCTCACTCATGATATGTTCCGTGAAACACCAGTCAGTTTGGGTAACATGAACAAGGTGTTCTGTTCCCAATGGCTCTCCGATAGGCAGGTTGTCTTTGGGACTAAGTGCAATAAGGTAATTTATTCAATCATATCCTCAAAAACTTAAAATTAGTGGACAATAGTGTCAACACATATTATATCATTTATGATTAACAATTAAATAATTACACAGCTTAATTTTTTTTATAGGATAAGGGTGACAAACAAGCACACAGTCCACCTGATGGTAAGTAGTTGCTGTGGCCCATAGACATCTACATCTATCTTCGATTAAGAATCAAAATGCAGATGCATTGTCACCCGTGAGGACTAAGATAGAATGCCTCGGTTCCAGTAAAAAGGGTCTCTGGTTCTCCACACTCATGAAACGAAACACAGCAGCATTAAGCTGCTCTTTTACGCTGGTATTCTGTGAGAGCGTGGTCCTTCCCAGGTCGAACCGACCCATTTGTGCTACAACCATAATATAGCTGCAGCATGGCTCTACCACATATAAAAGTGGTATCTTATTTTTATTATGATATTACTCATGATATAATTTTTTATTACATGTCATTTTAATTACATAACATTTGTAACATAAATTCTAGTTTTGATTCCCTTCAAGTCTCATTACATGTTATAAAAATTAATTGTGTAAATAACGAATTATCATTTAAAATATTATTAAAATTATGTTTATAAAATGTTGCTAATGAAGTATTTATTATGTTTTTTTCTCTACTCAACCTATATGGTTAACTGTTGTTAGATAATGGCTTTCAGTCTTTTATGTGTTTCCTTATATATTAATTGTTACATTTTTTTAAAATAAAACATTAACAGCCCTCATCAAATTATCGTGAAACTTAACTATTTTTTTTCAGTTAATGGTGTATGATGTGAGGTCTCGTTCATTAGATGCAATCCCCACACTGCGGCCTCGAGCCCCATGGCCAGGCGCCGAACACCAAACAGGAATACATGCATTGCAAATCAATCCATCTAGGTATGTATTTTAAACTATTGATTTTTATTAACTTCAATGAAGTTCTAGACATTGCTAAAAGAGCAATGGCAGAAAAATAGTTGATAAAAATTATAGCGTCTAGGGATAAGTTATATATAAAATGAGTTTTATTGTTTTTCTATGATTTTTCAAATAAAAATGTATTTTAATTAAAGCCACAGAAAAAAACAAACATTTTTGAGAATATCAAATGACTGAAATCATTTTACTCTATTCAAATGTTGCCATTTAGTATAGTCCTACTATTTTCGTATACACTTTGTAACACTACCAACACAACACACAAAATATTTTTATATTAAGTTATTATTAGTAATAACTGTACTATCAGTAATAACAAAAGTAAAAGTAATATGGCTGAGAATAAGTCTCTTACAAAGAATTTCCTACAATAATACATTATTTCAATCATAGTACTATGTAATAATTTCATTTAATGTTATGCCAACACTGTCTAAAATAAAATGTCACTGTTCTTTTTACTGGCTTTACGGCTCTGGGTTCTAGCCCTTCTGAGAATGTCACTATAGTACAAAAGCCCTTGAGCCATGCCAGAAATATACTTTTATAGTATGCAAATATATAATAGAGATACAATAATCTAAAAATTCTCAATTATGTATTATGTATTAAGCTAACATCAAACAACCACAGGAAGCATGACTTTTTCCAAGTGACATAGGACATAATCTAAAAAGGTTCAAATGTAAATATCTTTTTTTTGACGCCTTCTCAGTACAAAATTCTTTGACAGAGTTATTAAGGGACTGACGCTTAACATTTTAAGATATTTTTGGTATATAGACGCTACCATTTCTTCTCAACTAATTTTATGTATGAAAGTCTGCCATTGCTCTTTCGATACTATGCCCACAATTGTTTTTTTTTTTAAATAAAACTGAAGTGACAAACGAACTAACAGTCCACTGGATGGTAAGTGGCTGCTGCAGTCCATGAACACTTGCAACCAACATTAAACATAGAAGACTACATATGCATAGTCACTTCTAAGTCCTGGTCCACAGTGCGAGCCTAACGCGTGAAGTATCAAAAGCGCGTTACGGCGGAGAGAATTCTTATTGGGAAAGAATCACACTCTCGCAGTATACCAACGCAAAATAGCAGCTCAATGCTGCTATGATTCGTATGGTGATTGTAGAGAACCGGGGCCCCTGCTTCAGTTGCACTTTTTACTGGAAAGGAGATATTTTATCTTAGTCCTCAGGGGTGACAATGCATCCGCATTTTAATTCCTAACCAATGATAGATGTAGATGTCTATGTGCACAGCATCAGGTGGACTGAGTGTTCATTTGTTGTCCTTATTCTATAAAAAAAAGGATTTTGAAGTTGATGGTAGCTCATTTGTTTTTTTTTTGATTTCTAATTATGACATATCCTAACTCCTGTACACCAGTAAAATTCTTATATGTTATTCATATTTGCAGAACATTACTAGCGACAGGTGCGCGAAACTCATGTGAGCTAGCCATATATAGCCTGCCAACACTGGACCCGCTATGCGTAGGAGAGGCGCACAAAGACTGGGTAAGGTTATATCGCTTAAAATAAGATTATTAAAATAATTCCACCTTAAAAGTTCTTGTGATTTAAGCTGTAAAAGTATCCTTTGAAAATAGTTAGTTCGAGAATTTGTCATATTATTATTTTCTGTATTTACCTACTTATCATCACCATCATCATTCCAGCCCTTTATAAGTCTACCCCTGAACATAGGCCTACCGCAAGAAATGTCACAAACACTAAACAAGTTTTAAATTTCAAACAAAAGTACATCTTTTCTCTTGAAATTAATGCTCGTCTCAATTTAAATACTAGCAATGTAGGTTTTATTCTGTCCAGTACCAATAATTTTTATAGAATATTAAGTGTCAGTAGAGAAGTTAGAATACAATGATATTCATTGGAGGCATAGGAAGTCTGTCAACATGCATTATTGTAACATAGTGGACTCTTCTCTGCTCCAAAACTCTCAAGTAAGAGTAGACATTGTGCTCAGCAGTGAGACTGAGACTTCTTATTGTAAAAGCAGACTTGAATTTAAAACTGCTAGTTAAATGCAGTCAAAATTAGCCATTATAAAAGAAATTAATATTATGAGTCGTCATTATCGTTAACCTATAGCAGTCAAGTGCTTTTTCCAAATAACTGGTGGTAGGGCTTCTTTTCAGCCTTGAATGCCGTCTAAGTAGGTACTCTACCCTCTTACCTGTTTCCGCAGATACTAGACATGTGTTGGCTGGACGATGAGTTCTTAGTGACCGGGTCGCGGGACTCGAAGCTCGCGCTGTGGCGCGCCCCCGCCGGGCCGCCGCAGCGCGCGCCGCAGCACGACTACGTGGCGCCGCTCGCGCTGCGCGACTGCCGGGCCGGTATGTGCCCCAACTAACTAATTAATACCGCTCCGGTACGTGCCCCAACTAAATAATTAATACCGCTCCGGTACGTGCCCCAACTAAATAATTAATACCGCTCCGGTACGTGCCCCAACTAAATAATTAATACCGCTCCGGTACGTGCCCCAACTAAATAATTAATACCGCTCCGGTACGTGCCCCAACTAAATAATTAATACCGCTCCGGTACGTGCCCCAACTAAATAATTAATACCGCTCCGGTACGTGCCCCAACTAAATAATTAATACCGCTCCGGTACGTGCCCCAACTAAATAATTAATACCGCTCCGGTACGTGCCCCAACTAAATAATTAATACCGCTCCGGTACGTGCCCCAACTAAATAATTAATACCGCTCCGGTACGTGCCCCAACTAAATAATTAATACCGCTCCGGTACGTGCCCCAACTAAATAATTAATACCGCTCCGGTACGTGCCCCAACTAAATAATTAATACCGCTCCGGTACGTGCCCCAACTAAATAATTAATACCGCTCCGGTACGTGCCCCAACTAAATAATTAATACCGCTCCGGTACGTGCCCCAACTAAATAATTAATACCGCTCCGGTACGTGCCCCAACTAAATAATTAATACCGCTCCGGTACGTGCCCCAACTAAATAATTAATACCGCTCCGGTACGTGCCCCAACTAAATAATTAATACCGCTCCGGTACGTGCCCCAACTAAATAATTAATACCGCTCCGGTACGTGCCCCAACTAAATAATTAATACCGCTCCGGTACGTGCCCCAACTAAATAATTAATACCGCTCCGGTACGTGCCCCAACTAAATAATTAATACCGCTCCGGTACGTGCCCCAACTAAATAATTAATACCGCTCCGGTACGTGCCCCAACTAAATAATTAATACCGCTCCGGTACGTGCCCCAACTAAATAATTAATACCGCTCCGGTACGTGCCCCAACTAAATAATTAATACCGCTCCGGTACGTGCCCCAACTAAATAATTAATACCGCTCCGGTACGTGCCCCAACTAAATAATTAATACCGCTCTGGTACGTGCCCCAACTAAATAATTAATACCGCTCCGGTACGTGCCCCAACTTAGTAATTAATATCGCGTCGGTACGTGCCCCAACTTAGTAATTAATATCGTGCCGGTACGTGCCCCAACTTAGTAAATAATATCGCGCGGGTACGTGCCCCAACTTACAAGGAAATATCGCGCCGGTACGTGCCCCAACTTAGTAATTAATATCGCGCCGGTACGTACCCCAACTTAGTAATTAATATCGCGCCGGTACGTGCCCCAACTTAGTAATTAATATCGCGCGGGTACGTGCCCCAACTTACAAGGAAATATCGCGCCGGTACGTGCCCCAACTTAGTAATTAATATCGAGTCGGTACGTGTCCCAACTTAGTAATTAATATCGCGCCGGTACGTGCCCCAACTTAGTAATTAATGTCGCGCCGGTACGTGCCTCAACTTAGTAATTAATATCGAGTCGGTACGTGTCCCAACTTAGTAATTAATATCACGCCGGTACGTGCTCCAACTTAGTAATTAATATCGCGCCGGTACGTGCCCCAACTTAGTAATTAATATCGCGCCGGTACGTGCCCCAACATAGTAGTTAATATTGCGCCGCCACGTGCCCTAACGTAGTAATTATTACCGCGCCTGTACGTGCCCCAACCTCGTAACTTCTGACACGCCGATATAGCTATTTTTAATTCCAGAAACGAAACTGACAATGTAAATGCTAATCCGGCATTTTTCCGGTTATTTAGATCTAACTAACCGACTTGTGTTTTAGTAATCTCCTTCCTTACAGGACAAAAAGTCCGCGCGCTAACATTCAACAAGAGCTGGCGCGAAATCGCCGCTTTGACACTGAACGGTTATATCCACGTTTTTAACGCGGAGACTTTCCGTCAGACACTTTCAAGAAAGCTGCCGTCCTGTCAAGATCTCGTCTGTCTCGCCACACAGGTATTTCTTGACAACTAGATTAAAAACTTGAGACATTTAATCAATTTGTAGGGTAATTTTACCTATATGAATTATTCTTTCTAATTTAGCCAGGCTTTGATTATTAATTCAATTTATAGATCAAATTAAAGAACATTCAAACTATAAAGTTATATGAAATTAAAAAAAAAAGTTCCATGGGTATCCTTCCTACCCAGCCTACCTTCAGTTTTAACTCCACATGTAGTTGGTACTTTTTGGTATTTATTTAAAACTCCTAATCAGATTATGCAATCACACGTCAAATAAAATTACCTTGTAGTTAATGCCACCTTTAAATCAGGAGATAGCTACGATGATCCACTCACATATAAATAAGTAACATTACATATCAATAATATTGTAACATAATCTATAATAACTTTAATATCTCAACTTTAAGTGGAAAATATTTTGCTAACAAGAATAACAATTGTGTTCGGAGCATGTAATTTTTTCTGAATATTTTTATGGACTTTTGCAAATGACCGCACTAATGCGAACTCATAAATCCTTTTCAAAACAACAGAATCGTACTTTAGGAACTACAAAACGTGAGAATATAATGAGATTCAAACTTTCTAACATCTGACCTACTACAACAACTTCTTAAAATAGTTGAAAATCAAAAAGAAGCCTTCTAATGTACTATGGACCTCTCCCATTGTAGGAAGAATGTGGCTGTATCATCATGCTTGGCTTGGGGATCAACATTGTAGTACCGGAGTCTTGCACCTTTGACACTGTTGCTTATCGTTGCCGGTCTGAGGACATGAACATATAGTCTACCTGATGGTATGATGAATGGATCGTCATAGTGAGTGCTGCGGCCCTCTGATCTATCCTCAATTAAAGCATGAAGTTGCTATTTTACGCTGGTATTCTATGAGAGCGTGGTCTTTCCCTGGTCGAGCCGTGGTTCTACCGTGTATGACTAGATAAATAGTACAAGTATGGACTAGGTTAAAATTTTGATATTGTAGATTTGCGTTCAAACTTGAGATTATCTCTGAATACTGGTTTTCATTACCATTACAGCTAATAAAAGCCCATTGCTGAATGAACATAGGCTTAAAATTTCGTATGAGGGAGCCCCACGGGTTCCCTCATACGAAATTTTACTCTAATTGCCATGCTTGGCAGGCGGGATGGCAACCACAGTGTTTTAATTTTTGGTTATTAGAAAGACGCTGCTGCTCATCTCAACAGTTTCCTTCTGTTGCCTCTTACGATACACATCGTCCGATATGGGGTAGTGGATATGCTTACACCGCCACAACTATTACTGGTTACTCTCGGAAGCCATAAGATTTTTCTGGCGAATTTCTCATGGTCTCCTCTTATGCCTCACGCGGTAGATGATGAACCGGTAATTATGGAGTTACTTAGATGATCGTGTAAAACGATGATGAGCTTGGTTGATGGTCGTGGTGGTGCCGTGCAGGAGAGCGGCATGTACGCGATCGGGTGCAAGTCGTACACGCTGCTGCTGGACTGCCGCACGCTGCAGTCGGTCAAGAAGATCACGTCGCGCTACAACGGCTGCGGCATCCGCTCCGCCAGCTTCCGCGGACACATGCTCACCATCGGCACCGGCCTCGGTCAGTGCTCACTTGCCCCGGCGGCTTTAGCCCCGAGATCTTTTGTCTCAGTGCACCATGAGGATAGGAGGCGGAAGGAGCGGTGGGAGAAATCTAGATTTTTTTTAAAGTATCTATAACGTTAACGATATAAAAGTCGTGAAAGTGGCAATGTTGCTTATGGTTTAGTAATAGAGTATGCTGATTTGGTGAATTGATTTTTCAATACAATATTGATTTCTTTTTGTCTTATCTGTCTTGAATTATTGTTATTTTTTTTTTAGAAATGACCTTTCCTCCATACTAGGATTTTCTACGTTATGGTGGAGGCAATTTACATACATAAATTGCACAAGGACAAACATCCAGACTTGGAACAATTATTTGTAGGCCACACAAATACCTGTTACGTGCGGAATTCGAACCCGCGACCCCGAACTCTGCAATACATTGCTAAGCCACTGCGCCACGGCGTCGTCTATTGAAAAAAAACCGTTATGCTTTTATTCCTACATTACAGCCTATAATAAATTCATTGCTAAATGTAAGCATCTCATAGATTACGACATAGAAGCGACCTTTGCCATAGATGACATACTTGCTAAGCCTGTTGATAACCACAATATTTTATTATTTTGAGTTGTTACTAGGAAAATAATGCTAGTCTACTGTTTTTACACCCACGGGATTATATGGGGTAGTGGATTCCTTTACGCCGCCACTACGCGGCCATCCTCATCCTTGCCAGTCATCATTTTTAAATTTAAAAAAAGACTAACGATGTTATTTCACTCTTATGAACAACAGTCGACAAAAGTTTTCCTCCGGTGACATGAAATTATCGCAAACGTCGCGCTCGCCTTGCGAATTGATAACCACGACACTTATTTTTTATAGAATAGAGGTAACAAACGATCACACCGTTGCTGTGGCCTGTAGAATCTACATTTATCCTCGATTAAGAATCAAAATTCAGAGCGTTGTCACCCCTGAGGACTCGGATAGAATGCCCCTTTTCCAGTGGAAAGGGTCTCCGGTTCACACTCACCATTATGTGAGAGCGTGGTCTTTCCCCGGTCAAACCAACCCTTTTATTACCACACACTTGGACTTTTCGTTCCTTTGACGTTGCCCCTGTCGCATAAAACGCTAAATGTTATTATATGTGGGGTTGCCTATTATATGGTAACATAGTATGAAATAAAAATTGCTTCAATAATAATTATTCTATAATAAAGGTTCGAATACTATAATTATAAAAAAGAAATTAGAAATAGTAGCCGAACCTACTATATTTTCATAATATGACGTGGGACTGGTTTGACTCAAAGCAGCAAATATATATCGAAGCCGAGCCTGATCGCTAGATTCTTTATAAACTTTTTAAATTAATAAAAAAAATAGCAAATCTAGTAATAGGTGGCGTTGTAATTCAGCCCGGTTGTTATCATTCAATTGAATTTATTTTATTAACGGCTTACCCTTTGAATTAGCCGGCCGATTAAACCATCGGCCTGCTATACAAAGGCTGTCTAGTAATTAATGGATGATCTCTAAATTGCTTACAGCAAAACTAATTGCCGTTCAAAAAATATAAAAAATGTACCCAAGCAGTGCTGTTACATGAATTCAGAAACATGGATTCAGAATTTCGAAACGTGTCAATAATACAGATTTCAAATATTTTACGTCACACGTGTGAAAACTTTTTTACCGAGATATCATAATTTAAGATTGCGTTTTCCGACAAATGCTGGCAAAAATTGGAAAAGACCCGTATTTTTCAATACTGTTCTTTGGAGCGCTGAATAGGCTTTCAAAAGAGACGGATATTTGAATCTCCACAATTTCTCAATTTCAAATACTAATTTAAAAATAATTATTAGACTGGAAACTACGCAGACGTGTCCGAGCAGCTGTAACGAAAAATAGATTTATCAGTGTTCATTTTTTTATTAAATCCCAATGGTCAGGAACAAATTAACATAAACAATTACAAATTACAAATTTCGTTATTTACTTAAATTTACCACTTTTGCACAATTACTAATCATAATATTTACTACCGACCGACGATATTAATTCGTTTTGTGGTCATGGTGTATAAGAATTTTAAATTCGTGAAAAAAAATTGTTATTTAAAATATCACGTTTCGGTTGTAATATATATTTTTTGCACGACCATTAGTTCTGCTGTAATCCAATTCAAGGTTATCCACTAACTATCGAACAGCCTGTATATATTGTGATCATTAATTTTCACTAATTTTGTTTGACGTATTTTACCCGTGTATTTTTAAATGTTTAATTGTAAATATTTGCAGGTTTACTGATGTTCTACGACGTGAGGGCGGGAAAATATCTTGAGAGCAGTATTCACTCTTCAAAAACCGTTACACTCAAGGCTTCTAGGGGATATGTGGTGAGCTTATTAACAATTTAGTATGCTTATTACGAATCGATCACTAATAAAAAACACAATCCCATGCAAAAGTTCTCTTAAAACTGTTGCCAATCGTTTTGACGTAATTCTAGTTGAAATAAATATACATTAATGTAAATTCAACCTTAAATGCATTGCCTGAAGTTGTATTCACAAAGCTACGTACACATTAAAAGCGCACCCAAATGTTCGAGTGGGCGCTCATTCGGTAAGGACATTTTTGTCACTGTGTATCTAGTTTTTTTATTAGTGATCGATTTTATTACGTTACCGCCGTGTAGCCGTGCCGTAAAAGAATACATTACCCCATGTCTTTCCTAGAGTATTGTAAGAGGCGACAGGGAACTGCCCTCAAGATACAGAACAAAATGCTAGTGGTATAATGCTATTAATGAAGTAGTAAGTAAAACCCTAGTGGTAGTAGTAGGAATTATGCGGGACTTATCTATTACAAAGTTGAACATTTTTATTAACCATTTTTTTATTAAGGGTTATATTATTCTACTTAAAGAGTACATGTCTGATAATAAAAGAATAAGATGATCGATATTATGCTGCCTCTAAACGTTTTCATACTTAATTGTATAAAATAGGTTTCTTGATTGTTCTTTCCAGGACAGAGGTTTTTTCCGAAACAGTGATAAAGCTTAAATTACTTTTAATAAGTATTCTTATAATCTATCTATACAAATAAATAAAATTAAAGTGTCTGTTTGTAATATTCAAAATAACAGTTTTTAACTAAATGCATATGAAAGTATATACGGTACTTATAAAAAAACACAATTTTAATTTTCTTTTCTGTGTATTTGTTCCGATAAATTCCGAAATGGCTGGACCTATTTTGACGAGAATTTTACTAGCATACAGCTAATGTTACAAGGAGTAATTTAGGTTACTTTTATTTTGGAAAAATAATTAGGATTCCCCGCAAAAAAATATCAAAACCCATGATATCTAAACGTAGCAAATTCCACGCGGACGAAGTCGCGGGGAACAGCTTGCATTGAATAAAAATTATTATATTTTGTTCTATTCTAGTAACGTTCTCTAAATAATATATTTTTTATTTAAAAATGAAAACACTAGCAATACTATTAACATTACCAGTATTCCCTTTAAGCAGTCCTGGTAAGTTTAAAACGACCAAATATTGTGTTAGGAGTGGGTTCACGATAGTGGAATGGAACCCGCGACTTTTTGAGTTCGCGGTTCGCATCCTTCCATTAGTCTACTGTCGCATCGCTGGACTACTTTTCTCCTAAGAAGTCTGTCCAGATTGGTATCACCTTGATTATTTCTGTTGTCAAGTATTACGGTCTAAATTGTATAGAAAGCCAGTGTAATTACAGGCTATGAGGCATGCTACTATTGTCCTCAGAGGTGGTATCTACTGTCGTTTTATGACCAAACTAGCTGTTCCCCGCGACTTCGCCCGCGTGTAATTTAGGGTTTTAATTATGTTGCGCGGAACCTTAATTATTTTTTTAAAATATAAGTATCTTAAGTTACTCCTTATAACATCAGCTATCTGCCAGTGAAAGTCCCGTCAAAATCGGTGCGGCCGTTTCGGAGATTAGCCGGAACAAACAGACAGACAAAAATTTTAAAAATTGTATTTTTGTTATAAGTACCGTATATACTTTCATATGGGCTTAGTAAAATGCTGTTATTTTGACATTACATACAGACACTTCAATTTTATTTATTTATATAGATACTTAAATGCTACACAATTTCAAGACGCCGTCAAGTCTCGTGCTGTGTCTATCACTAAGTCTAAGTGACTGTGACACCACAAGACTTAACGGAGTCTTATAATTGAGTAGCGTTTGAGCATTTGGTCATTAAAGGAATAATTGACTCCAGTTCCCCGACGAGGAGGCGGACGGGTTCAACCAGGTGAAGTACGTGCCGGCGATCTACACGCACTGCTACGACGACAGCGGCACGCGCATCTTCACGGCCGGCGGCCCGCTGCCCGCGCCGCTCGTCGGCAACTACGCCGGCCTCTGGCAGTGACGCGCACACGCAATGCAACACGCTCGCTTCTCGCTCAATCGCTACCACTCACTCAGAAAACGAACGCATTCATTTGTGCGTAAAACACTGCCACTGACTAAAAAACACTGGGCACATTTAACAATGATTAAAACACTTCAACTCACCCAGAAAACGAACACGCCCAGTTATGACTAAAACACTTCAATGAACTCGTTTAAAATCGTTCATTTATGAGTAAAACAGCTCCAACTCGCTCAAAAACATTTGCAAACAAAAATAACCAAAACACTTCAATATATTCAAAAGCGAACAAGTTCAATTTGACCAAAACATTTCAACAAACGATCAGTTATGAACAAACTGAACTGACACTTAGACACTGAAAACTAATAAACGTGTTTAGTTGTGATTTCTGAATAAACCAATTCAAAACATTCAAAACGAAATAACGTGTTCAATGACGACTTATGACTCAAACACTTCGAAACTGGTAAACGTGCTCAGTGACGCCTTGTGACTAAAACACTTCAAAACACTCAAAACTAGTAAATGTGTTCAGTTATGACTTGTGACTAAAACACTTCAAAACTATAAACGTGTTCAGTCATGGCTCATGACCTATGACCAAAACACTTCGAAACATTCAAAACTAGTAAACGTGTTCAGTGATGACTTACGACTAGAAAACTTCAAAACACTCAATACTGATAATTGTCGTGACCGACTTCATCTTAAAACACTTGGAAACACTCGAAACAAATGAATGTGTTCAGTTATGACTTTGATAAAAAAAAAAAAAAAACTTTTGTCACTAACAGATTCAGTTACGACTTGAAACTAAACACACTTCGCCCATCAACACGTTCAATCTTTGAGTCACTTATGCCATTTTTTTAGGCCCTACCCATGTAAATATACGTAATAAAGTAATAAATAATAAAAAAAATAACTAAATTGTCATAAACTTATCTGTAAAAAAAAAATACTTGATTTACATTTAAGTATAATTTAGGTAACGATATAATTTCATTGGAATGTTCTTAGCTCAATTTATGTAATATTAGTTTGTTTGAACAGAGATGTGGTTTTTATATAAATACAAATGTTTTGTGGGCATAATGGAATCCACTAACCCATAATATCATCCTGTGGGCATCATAAGATGCGACAGAAGCTAGCGATACAGGGGATGGACAGCAGCATCTTCCCGATAAAAGAATTATAAAAAATCTTAAGATTATAATAAATCTAGTTGCCAAGCGTGGCAACTATGGCAAAATCCTCTATGAGGCAATCCATATTGAGGCCTATGTTCAGCAGTGAACTTTTAATAAGCTGAATGAATGAATGAGTGGGCCCCATCTACCAATTTCGATTAGGTTTGCTTTGTATTATAACACCATGCTGATATCAACTTAAATTGATAAAAGACTGCGGTTGCCAACCCGCCTGCCAAGCGTTCATAGCCATATTCCCCTCCTGGAGGCTAGATCTATGAGCGTGATCTGTGTTCAGCAGTGGATTTGACAGGCTGCAATAAATTAATGAATACGAAAATGTTTGCTATGACCTCATATAAGATCACTTGATAAGGTATCTGGTTGGGTATAATCTGTTCGCTTAGACAGTTTCGGTACACCCGGAGGCGCACTTGATTATTTTGCTTTTATTTTATTATTTTTTATTGCGTTAGTCAAACAAATGTTTTTCTATTCTAATAAAACAGAACAGATTTTATTCTTATGGTTATTGTAATAAATACGAGTATTATTAATAAAAACGGCGCTTCCTTTTAAAATGCCAAATTCTCCTGCGGGTCGGTGTACGCCGCACACGGCAACCTTTGACAAGATGCGGCACGTGCCAAAGCGGCGCGAAACAAAGGCGACCGTATCTAAGCGAACAGATTATAGTAGACTAATGTTAATTGAAATAGTTTTTTTATATGTTAAAACTAAACTATGCTATAGCAATTATATAAGAAAAGCAATAAAATAAAAGTCGTCATAGTTCCTTCTCACATCTTATTTGAAAATAAAACCCCTTCCTTTTTGAACTTGGTTAGTAATATATTAATACTAAAGTAACGTTGTAAGAATATCCACTACTCCTTATCATCCCGTAGGTGCCATGAGAGACGATTGTTAAAGTTAATTACGTAGTGTATTCACATTCGGATAAACGACTATACCAACAACAAAAATGAGTTGGTAAATAAGCATGGCCGTCATTTGAATTAAATTTTACTTAGTAACTCATAATTATAACAGTAATTCACCATTCTAGATATTATACAGGGTTATTTTTCAAAGAGTAGCCAAGTTTTAAACTTAAGTTCAAATATATAAATAATAATATCCCGTTAATGCAGTTTTTGAAATTACGAGTAAATAAGGCTTCTACTTTTATTTGAAATTATCCCAAATTGAATGTGATTTGTGACAACGTTTTTGTCTACTGATCGACTCTTACAACTATGTGTGTGCGTAGTAAAATAGATATTTATCAATGAAAATCCGTTAAAATAATGCATTACCACGCATTTTGAATTTAGAAGATAAAATGACAGACTATTTGAGATTTTTTAAATTAATTTTTATTCACCATTTGCCTATATTACTCATTCTGAAACTTCTCTGCAAATTTGGTCGGTTATTGCAAAATAACCCTGTATATTAGCTACCTTAATTGCAACTATGTTACCGTTAGGGCTTATCAAAAGTCCATAGATCACCTCATAGAGGCGATATTTGCCATTGCCACGCTTGGAAACCGCAACTTTTTATTTTTAGCCGTTATTAAGAAGACGCTCCTGCCCCTCTCCTGATTTGTTTCTCTCTGTCGCCTACCATCTACTTATAGTGGATATTCTTACACGTTCAGCACATGATATTCTTTTTTGTGTACAGTACCTTTCTAAAGATATGTTTCATTTCTCTTATTGATAATAAGTACGTAAAATTGGTACTTACAAGTTTTGATATTCACGTATTAAATCTATACAAATAAATAAAATTGGTGTCCGTTTGTAATGTCAAAATAACAGCTTTTTACTATATGTATATGAAAGTATATACGGTACTAATAACAAAAACACAACTTTTCAAATTCTTGTCTGTCTATCTATTTGTTCCTAATCTCCTAAGCGACTGGACCGATTTCGACAGGATTTTCACTGGTAGATATCTGATGTTATAAGGAGTAACTTAGGCTACTTATATTTTAGAAAAACAGGGTTCCGCGCAACATAATTAAAAACCTTGAATTACACGCGGGCGAAGTCGCGGGGAATAGCTAGTTGAAAATATAAAATATTCAATTTAAACTGAATAGATATTGTAGTGTTTTAAATGTACTTTTTTTTGGTATATTGTCACATTTATTTTTATTCTAATAAGCCCGACTTGTTCAAAGCAATATAAATAAAACTATAAGTAGTTTATCATAATGTAGTCAAATGTTAGGTAAGATTTGCGCGATTCATATGGCTGTACATTTGTAAGTTTAAAACAAAAAACAGTTTTATTTAAAAATGTGTAGTGTTCGCGTAAATATAAGAAATCATTACAAAAAACAGTTCTCATAAACAAATTGCATTCAGCTGTTATGTAGAACTAACGAGTGATAATTTGTAGCGATGCTTGAAGACTTTCTATCGACTTCAAAAAGGATACGGTACTCGACTCTATGGTTTTTTATGTGTTACCTCATAACTTTCTTCAGTGTGTGAACTGATTTCGATGATTCTTCTTTTATTTGAAACCTGGTGCTTTTCATGTGGTCCCATATAAATTTGTTCAAGGTCTGACCAATAGTTTTTAATTTATTCTTAACAATTTATATTGAAGTCGCTTGTACAAAATTTTTAATTTTTTTTTATATAGGATAAGGGTGACAAACGAGCACACAGTCCACCTGATGGTAAGTGGTTGCTGCGGCCCATAGACATCTACATCTATCCTCTATTACAAATCAAAATGCAGATGCGTTGTCACCCGTGAGGACCAAGATGGAATGCCTCATTTCCAGTAAAAAGGGCCTCCGGCCACCTGCACTCACCAAGCGAAACGCAGAGGTAAACATCTACTTCACGCTGGTATTCTGTGAGGTCGTGGTACCACCCCGGTTCGAGCCGGCCCATCCGTGCGACAGCAAAAGCTGCCTCGTGGCTCTACCACTGTTAGTTTTAAATTATATATACTTATTACTATCTATTATTGCTCAAGGACAAACATCCAGACCCGGAACAATTATTTGTAGGCCATACAAATACTTGTTCCGTGCAGGATACCGCAACTCATTGTTGAGCTGCGCCACGGAGATGTCAAGATTAAATAAGAATTACGAACACACGCACACCGGAATTCTATATATACTATATTTCTCATTGTGAAGTTTTCAGCATTGCACGCCATTTAGTGCTTGACTTGTACTGGGTTCGAATCCACTCAGAAAAAAAATAGTCAACATAATAAAATACTAAAGAAAATCTTGCGCCATAAGTAAACTATATCAAGCAATATTGTGATTCCTTTGACAAAGCAATTAAGACTGTGGTCCTTGAGCGTGGGAACTTCTAATAGAACACTTTCGTTGATATTTTCTAATCACAGACGCATTGCGGAATCTTATTATACGTACCCTAGACATGAATAAATTACTTTTGGTACTTGGCACAAGTTATATATTCATCACGCGTTCATCTTCGTAGGATGTTCATTTATGTCACAAAAAACACGCATTGTATGTAGCTATTTGCAATTTATTGTGTCATTTGCTTGTCGCATAGCGAAATCCACTAGCCCGTAATGCAAAGCTGACGGCAAAGGGTGGGGTCAGAGTGTACGCTTTCTAGGTATGCGAGTAAAAAATAAAATGTGAGTTGTAAACATATCGCTGTAAATGGAATTTAGAAATAAACATTGTAAACGGTGCTAGTATACACCAATGCGTGCGACAAGACCAGAAAGTGGTAAACAGTAGGCGATGTCATAAGAAACCTGATATATAAGATTTTTTCCATATTTAATATTTTCGTAATCATCGTTGCGTTACAAATTGCGGACGAAGTTTCGTCGTTCGTAAACCAATACAAAGATGGAAATCGTTTATCATAATATTTTGGCCTGTTTTTTTAACGCTTCTTATTTTTATCACGGTTATTTCCCACTGCGCCAACACTGTAAACCTAAGTATTTAAATATTTTTATTTTTTATTCGTCCTGTAGCGAAAGTGTGTTCTGAGCGCACGCGACATAGCTCTCCCGCTCGAAAGCCGAAGCGAGACTCATGCCCTGGTAACTTAAAACATTTTTTATTTATTGTGAAAAGCGCCATCTATCCCGCATACATGGAACTTTTTATTGCAGTGTTACCACTCTTTTTTTTACTTGGAACACTTGGTACTTTAAAATAACGGATGATTTTGCTATTTTTCTTTTATTAGTCCAGGTACACAAAAATAAATGATTTAACAACAGTACAATTTATTTTAAAAATATTTTATATTAAGTACTAGTGACATTATAATTTATATAGTATTTATTACAGTTACGATCTTAGAATCTTTAGAGTAGTTTATTGATACCAAATTTTAACAACACTGAGTCTAACTAGAAGAAATTTCTCACCGGTGTGTTTGCATACTCGTGCGCATTTTTCTTGTAATTTTTGGTGTTTTTTATGTTACTACGTTGAGTCGAGCTTCAGTTTCTTCGTATATTCCAGAAATACCGAAATTCCAGCATAGACTGTACTTTGTGGAAGTGTTTTGGACATACATGTTGATAGGCCCTCCGTAGGGAGTTTGGACCATATATATCTCAGTGTAGTGTTATTTTACATTTTACACAATGCCACGAAATATCTTCTGTGTTCCTGGGTACCAAGTAGTAGCAGAAGATGGTGAGTAAAGTGTGTTTTTATATTCTGAAGTTTCATAACCTCAATAATCTTTTAAACAAATATGTGTATTCTACGCTGGCTTATATTCTACGTGCCTAATACACCATAAACTGGTTAATCTGTTTTTAACAATTAAAAAGCAGTGAAAAACGACATTTCTATTTATTCAGTAAGTCAAAATTTCTAAAATACCATTAGTTCCTATAAGGTTTTTTAACATTTAAAAATAATAAATGCTACATGTAGGTTCTTATTCTAGAATGATGCTCAAACACAGCTTTACTTGAGAATGATTTGAGTCTATCATTTCATACAAATACGTCACTAAGATGTGCTCAAATTGAGATCGCCGCTGAGTGTCGTTCTAGAATACGGGCCGTAGTCTGTCGGCTCAGTTAACTCATAGTAAACCTTAGAGCAAGGACTAAAACATGATAAACAATCTTGACATGTCTTTTTTCTCAATTTGCATTTAAAAGTGGAGTTTCTTGCATGTTTTTCTCCTTCGGAATCTACATTTTCAAACATGCACCTAAAATCTCGACTTTCAAAAGTCAAATCAATAGGCATTGATATGGTCTAAATGAATAAATAAGATTTGACTTAGATTGAAAAATTCTCTAAACTTACTAATGAATCTAAGACAAGCCACTGACCTAACTATTACATAGAGTTCACAAGAGGGTTTATATATATTTCATTTGTAAATTCTTAGATTTTTGAAATGCAAGGTAAAGTGAAAAGACATAATTATATTATCAAGATTCTTTATCTGTAGTAAATAACCTAGACCGATGGAGAAAATGATGAAAATTAATAATTTAGTTGATTGTCCCTATGGTACAAAAGTCATCCTTGATATCAGATGATATATATGTAATTATAATAAACTCTCTCACATAAAATGTGGTTCTATAAATCTGCATCTACTTACACCACTTTAGCCGGGCTTTTGAGTTTTTGAAATTGTCTTTTATAACATTGCTAGTCTTTAGAACTCTGAACTAAGTGATCTTGAAAAATAATTATGATTAATTATTTATCAATAACTTAATTTATTTTACTATTATTAAATTACATTATTATGTATTGTAAAATAATGTAGAGTAACTTAGAATGATTAAAAATCACATTTCATTCAGGCCCATTATAGTCACTTTATTTTATTTTCAGGTGTACCTCTACATTACTTTCCATGTCCTGAGAAAGATGCAGAAAGGTTTCATAATTGGGTAAAGATTATTGGAGGTGGTATTGTGAGTCTGGACAACACCTGTAAAACTCATAGAATCTGTCGTCAGCACTTTCAGAAAGAGTTTCTTTACCCAAAAAACAGGCTTTGTAAATTGGCTGTTCCATCTTTGCTTTTACCCTCTGCAGGTGTATCAGGTAAATCAGTTTTTGATTAAGTTTATTTAATAATAATAATAATAATAATATTTATTGCCACACAATAATAAGTTTACAAATGAAAAGTTTACAAAGTAAGTATACACAAAGTAAGTAAAGTATTTGATACTAGCAACTGTGTTAGTTTCACGCAGGTTATAAATGAATGTACAATAAAACATATATTTATTGTACATTCATTTATAACTTGTGTGAAACTAATGAATTAAGTGAATTAACCAAAAACAATATAATATGTTTTTGCAATTTGTTTTAATTACAATATATTTAATTAAAGGTATGTGGGACAAATTTTTGTTAGGCAACCCGGGAGTAATGTAGGTCATAATCATTAAACATTAATTTGAATTGAGTTTCAATAAAATTTAGTACCTACATTTTCTTTATAAAAACAAAATGGTATTTAGCCCAGCGGTCAAACACTTGCATTTCATGCAGGTTATGTAAGGAACAGAATTTGATTATTGATTACTTGTCTAAAGAGAGAAGAGGATCATTAGAGCTATTTACAATCTCAAACTGAGAGAGTCTCTTAGAGATAAATTTAAAGAAATAAATATATTAACTTAGGCCTCTCAGTATCTTTACGAAAATTTAATGTATGTTCACAAAAACAAAGATAGTTTTAGTAAAAAAAGTGATGTACATTCTGTAAACACTAGGAACAAAGACCAAGCTAGTGACCCAATTTCTCGACTCCACAGAGTCAGTAATTCATTCTTGGGGCAATGTATACGCTATTACAACAAGGTCCCGGAAAGTGTACAGGTTCTCTCTGTTACCAAGTTTAAATGTTTTATTAAACTGAAACTGTATAAAAAGGGTTATTATAGTATAAATGAATACATGGTTGATAATAACCCCTGGGAATGAGGTGGTCGCTTCCAAGCAGTTTCTAAAATAAATTTTGTAAATAGTTTGTAATCATTTATATTGTAAAATTTATTTTTAAAAAAAGTCCCGCTGGGTTTCTTGCTGGTTCTTCCCAGGACAGAGGGTTTTTTTTTCGAACCAGTGGTAAAGTAAAAAATGACTTTCAATAAGAATTACACATGTAATGTATATTGAATAAAAAATTATTCTATTCTGTTCTATTCTTGCTTTAACAGTGCTGGAAAACATTGGGAGAAAAACTCCACACCTGAGAGGGCCTCATAAAGTTCTCAATGTGTGTGTAGTCCGCTAAACCACATCAGGGCAGCATGTGGACTAAGGCTTAATCCTTCTACTTCTGAGAGGCCTGTGCCTAGTAGCAGTGGGACAGTAATGAATTATTATAATCAATATCAGTAGCCAAAAAATGATTTGTATGATGCATGTTTTATGAGACACATAATGTACACTTGGTGTGAAATGCCTCTAAACATTATCCAGTAGTTTAGGATGCCCCAATAAAAAAAGCAAATACAATAATTTAATACTTATATATATATTTAACATAAAATTATAATTTCTAGAAAGTGGGTGCTTGCCAGAGGAAAGTGTGGACACTGCACATTTGATAATGCTGTTCAACAACCTGTTCGACTCAAATTAACATAAAGAAGAAGGTAAAATATACAGATCTGCTGTCACACCAAACTCATCCCATTTAAAATTATGGAACAAAACATTACCCATTTTAAGGTCAATGAAGTATATAAATAATAATAGTAAAAAGGTAACTGTAAACCAGTTGGGTAAACACTATAAAAGGTTTTAAATTAATAACAAATAAGTTAAGGGCAGAAATTATCAATGAACATTTAAATATTGATTTAATAAATACACAACAAATTCTAGAAAGCCGTACCAAAGTTCATGTAGAGAAATGCGCGGCCATAGCTTATTGTAGTGGGTGGATAGCAATCAAAACAAAAAAGTTTATATTTAAAAAATGTATGTAATAATGCAGATTTCCACAATTTTATAATAAAAAAAGAATATTGTGGCAAAAGATGGTTATGCTATCCTACCCGGCCATTGTTTGACTTTTTTGCACCAGTAGAACACATAACATGGAATATTTTAAATAAATATGCACATGTAGAAAACATTGTTAAATATATCATGCTGTTTATATCAGTCCACATAGACTTAAATTTTATGAAATGTGAAAAACATTAAGAAAATTTAAAGAAATATTTGGTCCATCAAAGTGTTGTGCTCTTCATAATTACTTGGTGCAAAGAAGTCAGCAATAAACTTAATAGCAAGAGCTATTATAATTTATGTAATGATAGTGGTGAAAATGTCTCCATTTTTCCTACGGGCTTGAGAACATTACAATAAAACAAAGGGTGCGAAACGAGAGGCAAAACGGCGTCGAAATTAATGTATTAATGTATAATTAATAAATTCATTGAATTATATATTTTTGTATTATTTATCTCATTACCTTTACCCGAATACCCAAAGATACTTAAACTTGTGTATCTAAAAACATCCCTAAAAATATGCTTACTTCAAAACACTGTTTAAGTATCTAAAACGACATATAAATAATATGTATAGGTACTTACGTATGAATTGCCGTTTTATTTATAGATAAAATATTCTATCTATAAATAAAACAGCAATTCATACGTAAGTACCTATACATATTGCCATATACGCAACTACGTATATATATATATTTATATATATATATATATATATTAGTTCATTGCTTGGCGTTCAGAGGGCGCTGAACGGTAACTAAATATGAAAACTTCAGTTGCCAGTCTATCTCCAGTATTATATATTAGTCTATGGCGAGACTGAGCGGGAGCGGAAGTGTCGGGCGGCCGGGGCCATACTTCAAGACGCCGATAGTTTAGACAATTTCTTTTTACAGTGTAATGGTAATTAAAAATGAAATAAAAAACATAAGATCTGCTTTATATTTAGTAGGGATGGGCAAAGGGAAAAAATATTTTTAAACAGTATCGATATATATCGCGGGATAAATATCGATATATCGTCATCATTTGAATGATGTTAAGATAAGGTCCAAAATTTTATTTACTGATGGTCGGACGACGTAAGACGATACAACATTTTAATATAATATATATATAAATTGATACGAATTCGATACTCTAACATAAATATCGATATATCGCGATTTAAAATATCGATATATCGATATTTTTTGCCCAAGCCTAATAGTTCAGTTAGTATGCAAAGTTAAATGATTTAATTTGAAGTATTTTTTGAATACCAGCGCTTTATTATTCGGTTTGGAGGTAACTTTGGATTTTTTTCTATCGAGAAAATTTTATATAATCGTGTTTTCCCCAAACAGTACTTAATATTAATCCTCAACTTTACCATAAATTTATTTCAAAAATGAATGCTGCAGTAATTTAGGTATAACGGAAGATCATGCTAAGCCATTTGAGGTAGTACAGGTATTTAACCACCATTTTAATAACCGTCTGGCAGTAGATTTGGCCAAACGAATCATAAGTGGACTCTACTATCATGTATGCCAAGGGTATTTAAGATCCGATTAGGTATTTGAAATTTTTGTCGAAGTCGAAAATCCGCCTGGCATCGACATCAGCTCTGCTTTAAAAAATATTTGATTGATATTTTTATAAATATAAAGTGACTACCGAGCGGTGAGAGACGCAGGAGGTCGATGGATACAGAACCTAACCTGCAAATCATCGAAATCGATGAGGGCTAAATACAAAACCATTTTGTACAGTATGTTCCCGAGAACATTCGAAATTTAAAACCTAGAATAAAAAACAAACATACGTAAAAAATATTTTATTTAGAAGCAAATTAAATGCAAGCTTATGGACATGACCACTGAAGCTATTTGACAGAGAGTGACAAATGATCATGCAATCTAAAGCACATCATGGACACTAAATCCATCTCACATACAAAGTAACAAATAATCATACAAGAATACTGCCCAAACAAATTTCAATCTTCCAACTTGGGTACAACCCACCCCACGGGTAATGCCGTCCCCTCACTGCAAATGAACTGATCCCATTGACATCTGAAAATAGAACATTTTATGACTAATTTGTTTCAGTTCCCACTGACATTGGCGAATGATCAAAACCGCCATAAAAAAATAAAGAAGAAGAAACGAGTAAGCCCACCTGGTGAGTTGAAGCTGTGATTCATGGACATCTAAATCTATCTTCAACTAAGAATCAAAATGTAGATACATTGTCACCTCTAAGGACTATGGTTTCTGGTTCTCTACACTCACCATAAGAAATTTTATGTTGGTTTTCTGTGAGAGAATGGTTCTTCCGCGGTCAAGCCGACTGAATTATCCTGCAACCATATTATAACTATGCCGTAGCTTATTATTGTCTTGTTATGATTAGCATATGATATAATACCATTACCATTAAAGTCCACTGGCCCAATAGATTGCGTCATAGGGGTGATATTTGCCACATTTGGCATGTGGGTTGGAAGACAATGCTGCCCATCTCCCGATTTGTTTCCCTATGTCACTTCTTACGACACCCACGGGATGATATGGGGTAGTGTATATTCTTACACCGCCACTACACAGTTAATAATTTAATACATCTGTTGTTTAGTTAATGCATGTTACAAAATATTGAATTACTATGTGTCAGCACAAGTCCTAGTTAGAGGTTAGTACCTTATGGGCTGATAGTAAAAATTCTTTACTTATGTTTTATATTACAATTTATGCTTGTGGGACTGTTCACATGGAATCCAAAATTTATTATAAGGCCCAATTATTAATTATACTCAGATAAAATTTTTTCAAGAGATAAAATACAACATAAATAAATTAAAGATAACAGTTGTATTAATAAACTAGGTCAATTTTTTCACTATTATATGCAGTCAGGTTACAATTTATTTGATGGATAACTGTTAGCTTACAATTGACAACTGAGCTTAAATATTATTTCTAATTAACTCTTTTCCTAACACTGCATATTATTATGTACAATTTTCACAAGTCAGTATTTTTGGAATGTACAAAGCATGCTTTATTATAAATGAACAAGCCAAATGATTAAACCAGTAATTAAAATAAAGAACCTAAAGATGTGCTACTCTTATTTTTAAATTAACTTTGTAACTTAAATTGAAAATTTAAAAAACCACCCGAAAAAAAGAACAGCTGATGACCTTGAAGCGTCTGAACCTATTTGATAAAACATGTCTAAGAACTACCGCTAGAAAACCTGCTTTTAAACACACCCAAATCGGTTCACCTGTTCAAGAGCTAAAATTACTACAGACAGACACACATAGCGGTCAAACTTATAACACCCCTCTTTTTGCGTCAACACAATTGAAAAAAGAAAAATTCAAATATTATGCCCTATGCCATTTCCATGACCAAGACATCTTCCGACACCATATACTTTAAAATCCATCAAGCTACCAAATTTAGGCTACCAAGTTTGCCAAAGAAATAGACATACCTAAGGACGGTGATCGAGTGTATTTAACATGTAAAAACTCTATTACCCACCTTCAAGAGCAGTCGGTTAAAAATCTTACCTTCTAGCAACAAATTTCTCGACATCACAATTGAAGTCAACTTGTGGCAAACTGTTACCAAAGAGCAATTCTCGCCATTTTTCCAAGTTCTGTATAACCTCTTTTTCTGTTTCATTCACAAACGTATCCTTCTCTTCTACATTCTGCTTTAATGTGGCACGGAGGTCACTCTCTTCCTTCTCATAGATTGCCAATTTTTGGGACCAGAGCAATTTTAATTTCTCTATAAATGTAGAAAAAAATTGATTATGTATAATGTTTCTTATGTTTGCACAAATACTAAATTAAATATTAAAGAAATATATTTTTACGGTTTTATCACATACTGTTACACTTACAGCCTATTAAAAGTCCACTGGTGGACATAGAATTCCCATGTAGATTGGCAGGTGGTTTGCCAATCAGTTTTACAAACACAAACAAATATTTCACGACACGCCTGGCGTGTCAAGCGCCACAGACAAGTGCATACATTAAATTTTCGTAAGTGTATTGAGAGGTCATAGTTAACTTACTTAAATCTTTGCAACACTTACCTATATTGCTATTGAATGCTGTTGTTTCACTTTCAGACACTGTAACCCCTCGACCCTTAGCAGTATTCAGACGCGCCTTACGCAAACGCACTAGGCCATCAAGTTTCGTGATACACTTTTTAGCATCATTTTTCTTTCTCATCACCTCTTTTAGTACTACATCAGCATGAAGTTTGGCTTCAGTTTCCTATAAATTAAAATATTATATTGCACAATTAAAATGAGGTCTAACTACGTGATTTATTTAATTGACATAAAGTTAAAATAAAAAAATTTGTTAATTTTTTATATTGTTTATTTTAAGTTAAAATTATTATTAACCGCGTGTAATTGATGGTTTTAATTATATTGCTCAGATCCCTAATTCTTTTTCTCAAATATAAGTAGCCTAAGTTACTCCTTAGAATATCGGCTATCTGCCAGTGAAAGTCGAAAACGGTCCAGCCGTTTCGGAGATTAGCCGGAACAAACAGAGAGACAGACAGACCGACAGACAGACAAAAATTTCAAAAAT